GTTCTTGCATGAGGCCCATTGTTCCAATCCAGTCTGAACGCTGATGTAAGGCTACACAACTCGATTCAAATATTGATGTTTTTCCATCATCGTCAAGCAGATTTAACCTTAAAACACAGAAGTCTGATTGAGAGTTCACACCAACATGTTGGATCGTACTGAYTGCATGATGACATCAGTACTTGAGTTAGTTTCCACTTTCAGTCACTCCTGTTCCAGATGTGCAATTTCTCACCGGAGTAGGCAGATTAAATACAAACATTGGACAAAACAAGAACGACAGATGATAATTTAGAAGTCCTGATTTAACAACGTCTGAATTGAGCCACACATGCTAACAYGTGTAGCATCCAGATTTACTTCTGTACACACAGCAGTGTGTGAGGCCACAAGGGCTGTGTCTCAAGTCAGGGGCTGCRTCCTTCGAAGCCTGCATTWGTCGGCTGCTTATGTCACYRAGCCACAAAGACAGCGGAGTTTGGAAATTCRTAACGGATCAAAGAATTCATTTTGAAATGTAAGTTTAGCAACTTAGATGATGAAATTTTTGCTGCCATGAGATGTTAAATAAAATGCAACTACAAGTACTGATACTGGAGCTAAACCCAAATTATTAATGCTTTGATTTATTTATGTACATGGTTTAAATCAGTGAAAAGACTTTTTATTACACATTATGTGACATGAAATGTAGCGCTATGGTAACAGGGTAGTGCACGATCACGCAAACATACATCATCTGAAGAAAATACAGTCTCATTTCACAGGTGTTTAATGAAGCCTACCTGGACTGCGAAGGGCGTGGTCTATGTGGGTCACAGTCTAGATAGGTTGCAGCCCCTGAATGGGGACCTTCACTGGAAACATCATGCATATAAATACATTATCTGCCGCTCTCTATAGAGATTCAGTGTTAAAACTGTAGCAGAAAAGAAGCTCCTAGAGCAAATTTTGGCACATWAGAATTCAGGTATCACAGAAAAGTTCCGTTGAAAGGTCAAGGTCTTCAAGAGACTTGGAAAGTGAGAGGAATTGTTAAAAAGTTGTGCGTTTTTACCAGTGTCTTATGGCTTGATCGTGTGTGTGTGTGTGTGTGTGTGTGTGTATTTATCACTTGAGCCAACACTTTTGCATCCCTTAAAGAAACTTGATGGTGATTTTTTTTTCTTGCATCCTTCTATAATCTAATATGGTCAAAGAGGAATTTCACTTGCTAGTTGTTTCCAATGTGGGCACCACTCCTACATAGGTTTTTACAGCAACTGGTATTCCTGGGCAGTCTCCTGTCCAAGTACTATCCAGGCCCCAACCCTGCTTAGCCTCTGACATCAGACAAGCTCTGCTGTGTTCAGGTTTGTATGATGGTAGGAATATGCAATATGGCAAAAAATTCATATCACGATATACATTATGATGGGTGGCGATAACGATATATATAATGATATGTATAACTTATAATAGAAAATAAATAAATCACATATTAATTGAGTGGAATGTTTAAATACATATGTGTTAAAAAATTAGACCTTAAAATCTCCTTTTTAAGGGAAATTTTAAGGTCTCCCTTAAAATATCTACTTTAAATGAGACAGGACTGGTTAAATCAATATATATAAAAACATAAACACAATAACTTAAATGTAATGAACATCTGTATCCACTGGATGTTGTGATTGGAACTTGTGGTCTGTGTTACTGCTGTTCAATCACCTGCTTCATTTTAAAGTCGTTAAACAAATTGCTTGTATTTACTCCTTTCTACACACTTTGCAGATTACTTTTTCTGCACTCCACGTGTTTTACTCTGTACGCGCTCTGGCAGGGTGGCAATGATTCCGTTTAYGCTTTACAGAGTTTTATTTATTTATTTACTTTTTTGAAAGACAGTCAGACTGTCACCTTTTCCCACAGCGCTTCCCTGCTGTACGACTTGAGATAGCATCGCGTTATGACCGCAGGAGAAACAAGATCCATTAGACTCAGCGAGCTTTTGTGCGTCCCACTGGGGCTCGCACTGACTTCACCTGCACTGACAGTCTCCTCGCTGTCTGACCGTGACATGTGCCGCGCTCCTCCCGCTGGAGGTTAAAGCAGGCAGTATGGTCGCTCGGCAGCCGACCAGACGACGCGCCGTCACGTGGTTGTTCTGCGTTTGTTTTTGCACACCCAAACCAGATCAAGATCATTCATGTTTTACAACTTTTTGCTCTTCCTTTGCGCTCTCAGCCATGCTGCTTCCCACTTCCTCTGTTTTGACTACAGTCGGTTACGTCATCAAAAAAAGAATTACCACGGTTGGCCGGTAGACTACAGATCTCTATCATAAGCCAAATTTATATAATTTCTACCATGTATCGTTAATATCACACATTCCTATATGATGGTGATTTTTTTTTTTTTTTGGTTTAATATTATCACTGTATGTGTTGGCTGCAGTAAAGCGCTGTATGAGGTATAGAGATGCTACAAGTAAAGCTAGCAGTAGGCTACAGTCAAAACAACAAGGTTTACTGTAGCTGTTTATCGACAAAATTTACTTTACAGAGACGGGATCCGGGTGTTGGTCTTTTACCTCCGATAAAATGTTTGGCGCTGATGTTAAGTCCATGGTTACACTTTTTTCTAGCCAAATTCAGTTTGACCCATTGCTCAAATTCAGCTGTTAGCCTAGCCTCTTAGCTTAGGAAAAGTGATTTCCTATTGAAAAAATTAATACTCCTTCCTTGTAGGGCGATGGCTGCATCCTGAGTCACTGTTACAAGAACTGTAGCACAGTGTTTTGTGGTCCCCTCATTTGAGTTTGATGCTGTTTTCCTGAATTTATTTAAATTTAAACACAACTAAATCATCAAAAACTACGAAAGTTTGTACATGCACCAATGTCGAGCCGACATAGTCACATGACTGGTGTTCTAAAAAAATCTTAGTGAAGGTCCCCTTTGAGACACACTTATGCTCTACATTGATAAAAAACACTACAAAACAAAAAAAGAATCTGAGCAAAGACCTGCAGTGTGATCACATCCACATACTGTTCACAAGTGGAGCTTATTTAACTAATTAAGTGGCTTCTGAAGGAGCTTCAAAGTAAAAGGGGTGAATGCACACACTCCTTTCAGCTTCATATGTTTTAACATCATTTAAAACAGTTTTTTCCTCAATTTTATGCATTTTATTTGCATTTATTGCTTTCATTCCATTTAATTTCAGGGTTTGAGGTAACAAAAATAGAGCCTACCATTGTAAATGTTATTAGCTGATACAGCTGCCCATGTTCTACAAATTTAGTTGTAGAATGTCTGCAGGAAAATAAACAACCTAGACATGAAACTCCTCATTATGTGGGAAGACGGACTTTTAATGCTGAGTGATTCACCTTCTAAACACAGAGGAGTTTAGAGAAAGTGCAGTGGAACAACACGGTGTGTTGCAGTCGAGCCAAAACCACAGGCAATAAACTGCAGTAAACAAACGTTACCCTCCATTTGCTCTTGGCAAAGTTCTTTTTGATCTGTCGGCTGACTGACTCGTGGATGTTCTTGCAGAGAGCCGTATCTCCGGCGATCCTTGGGGTTTCACACAAAAGAAATCTTCTGTTAGCACTTGGGCCATTGCATCAATAACTGCATCGATTCTGTGACTTTTGTGGTGTCTGTGCTTTTCTCACCAGGGATGTCTGAGGGCCTGTTCGCAGGTGAATCTCTTGGTTGGATCTTTTTCCATCAGACAGCTGATGAAATCCTTGGCTGATGAAAAAAAGACATCAAAAACAGCCTGAACATAAAATAAAAACACACAACGCCACGTTACCAGTAGTTAAAACTTAAAGTGATTAAAGCAGAAAGGCATCATCAGAGTCATGACTGCACAATCTTTGTTGTAGCGTCAAGCTGTTTGTGTTGTTAGTGATGATCAGCAGGTTTGTTTGTTGCTAATTAGTGCGCTGCCTTAGTCATTACTGCCTTTCTGCAGCGTTTTGGTGGTTTTACACGGCGACACTGAAGCTTTTTAAATCCAGGTCTCAGAATGGAGGTTTTTATGGAAACCACAAAAAAGTGAACTCATATAGGGTTGCAGTTTTTTTTACACAAGTAGATCAATCAGGACAACCATGGCTGATGGTAGAATGCTGTTTTTGCCCAAACTCATCCTCGGTCTAACCAAAAATCCCCAACGTTTCCAGCAACCGTTTGCATGTAAACAACTTAAGAGTTTTTTTTAATGTTCTGGTCAGGAAGCATTTTCAAGGAACTTAGTAGATAGCTGTTTTTATGGTTGTAAATTAGTGGAAGTTAATTGGTCTGCAAGGTTACCAAAGCTAGCGAAAACACTTATRCTGTATGTAATCAAAAAGTTAGCCTCGCTGTTAACAGAACCATGACCACCACTGAGTGCAACTCCTATTGTTACCCTGAGATATACTTACTAATGTTGTCATCCCTCATAGAAGGCAACCGATGACCTAATGTTCCAATGTGGGTGCAACTCCTACATGGATTTTACAGCACCTGGTATTCACAGGAACTTCCATCCAAGCAGTAACCAGGCCCAACCCTGCTGAACTTCCAAGACCAGACAAGATCTGGGGTCGGATTTATAAAACTTGCGTACGCACAATATCAACCCAGAAACTTGTGTACACCCCTTTTCACGCCAAGGTTGTGATTTATAAAATCCAAACT